GTTTTGGAGGGCCACACTTCCCCCTGGTTCTGAGGTTCTCCACCTCATATTAGGGCTAGTTTCTACATTGCTTTTCTCACCAGGCAATTAATCTCTGTGTCAGGGGGGTGGGACGGAATGTGTGAGGAACTTAAAATAGAGATCCCCTCCAAATTCCTCACCAGGTTTCAAATAATTGGATAGTTTCAACCATCGCAGCAAGGCATTAATTACTGCAAGATATTAATGAGCTGCCTCTGACCTTCCATCCTCTCTAAAATATGACAAAATTAACATTTAGACAAGGTTTTCACTTTGGGATTGTTTTGAAATACTTTCCCACTTCCCTCACTTGGGCTGCCTGCCTAATAGGTTGCCATTACTTGTGAAATGGAAACAGGGGCAGAAAACTGGCTGAATTTCTCAGTTCCTTCTTCAGATCTGTGACATGAGAACAGCAGAGCATAAAATAGATACTCTCGAGAGTTCTTGGTCATGGAGCGAAAAAGAACAACTAAGAACAAAGTGACGTTTAGCTTTTTGGCCCTCCTTTCACAGTTTCCCAACACGCCACTCAGAAATGTGAGTCAGTTTTCTTTGATCCCTGTCTAGCAGGACCATTAGAGACACTAAGCACGTGTCAAGGTTTCGTGCTTAGAATCCCAGACTAGAGAGTTTTCAGATTTCCTGTCACGTATCACAAAGCTGAGCAGTGCCCAGGAATTTAGGGAGGTTATTTTTCCTCTGGCCATCTAGTCTGGTATGGTCTTTTCAGCCCTGCTGCATCTCTCCACATTCCCAGCAGGGGACTATTTGCACCCCCTGCACTCTGATCCTTTCAACAGGAGCTGCCAGGGTTGTAACCTGGGGCCTTCTGCATTCCAAGCATATACCCTGCCACTGAACTGTGGAGTGCTTTGTGTCTTTCTAATCTAATCTAAGACCTAGAGTGGACCTTGGACGTTATAACCAAGGTGGGTGGGAGAGGGGAAGCATCACAAAGCACTGATGATAACTTTTTATCAGGACTTGCAACCCTCCAGTCCTACCGTTGGGCAAACTGGACAGGATTAAGACTTGGAGGAACAGCCGGAAACACGTCTTCCAATCAAGAATCTTTCATTTTCCAGAAGTTGTAGTGCAGACCTTGACTGCAGATGCTAAGCTATTGATCACTGGTGATTATAGGTAGGTATTAGTTGGCCTTACAGGCTTATCTAACAAAATGGGGATGGAGGGGGGAATGATTAGCAGTTGGAGGCAGTTGGAGGATGGATGGCTGCTAACAGATTGAGGTTGAATCCTAACAAGACAGAAGTACTGTTTTGGGGAAACAGGGGGCAGGCGGGGGGGACTCCTGAATGGGGTAACTGTGCCCCAGAAGGATCAGGTGCGCAGCCAGGGAGTCATTTTGGGCTCACAGCTGCCCATGGAGGCGCAGGTCAATTCTGTGTCCAGGGCAGCTGTCTACCAACTCCATCTGCTATGCCGGTGGAGACCCTACCTGCCCGCAGACTGTCTCACCAGAGTGGTGCATGCTTTAGTTATCTCCCGCTTGGACTTCTGCAATGTGCTCTATGTGGGGCTACCTTTGAAGGTGACCCGGAAACTACAACTAATCCATAATGCAGCAGCTAGATTGGTGACTGGGAGTGGCCGACGAGACCATATAACACCGGTTCTGAAAGACCTACATTGGCTCCCAGTACGTTTCTGAGCACAATTCAAAGTGTTGGTGCTGACCTTTAAAGCCCTAAATGTCCTCGGCCCAGTATACCTTAAGGAACGTCTCCACCCCCATCATTCAGCCCAGACACTGAGGTCCAGCTCCGAGGGCCTTTTGCCGGTTCCCTCACTACAAGGTAAGGTTACAGGGAACCAGGCAGAGGGCCTTCTCGGTGGTGGTGCCTGCCCTGTGGAACACCCTCCCATCAGATGTCAAGGAAATAAACAACTATTTGACTTTTAGAAGACATCTGAAGGCAGCCCTGTTTAGGGAAGTTTTTAATATTTGATGTTTTATTCTGTTTTTAATCTGTTGGGAGCTGCCCAGAGTGGCTGGGGAAACCCAACCGGATGGGTGGGGTAGTAATAACAACAACAGCCACCACAACAACAACAACAACAACTTTCATCATCAACTAAGGGGAATAGCCCTAGTTTGGGGGTAGCACATCTGCTTTGCACAAAGAAGGTTCCGGGTTCAATCCCTGGTGTCTGCAGGAAAGGCTGGGGTTGCTGCCGGTCAGTGTCAACACTAGATAAACCAATGTTCTGACTTAGCATAAGGCAAATTCCTTGTGTTGCCACCTGGTCACAGCCTGGTACCACTAGCATTCCAAACTTTTGTGAACTCTAATAGCACACGCTTTTCACAAATGAAGGTTTTCTGCCGTTGGGTAAAATTGGACGAATCTATTGAGGCATTATTTATGCATTAGTTGGTGTCATCCCAACACCCCTAAAGGAGTTAAGAGTTATGCATATTTTATGTTTAATCACATCTTCAGCGACACCAAACCACAGGCAAAGGTTTCCATTTCAAATTGAAGACTCATTTAATGCTTAATAGGAATCATTCCTTGCAGAGTAATTATGTCTCGATATTCACAGGGGAAGTTTTATTAGATGACCCTTGGTTGATTGCAACAGGCATATTTGGTTAATATTGAGAAGGAAGGGAGAGCATTAAATCACCCTCGCATTGAATATGACATACTTTTCCCATACCCAGTTATGTGAAATTCCACATAAAGGACACATGAGCAATAAAAAGGAGCCCTTTGTTGCATTAATAGGAAAAGCAAAACAAGGACTGGATCAGACAGCATCTCTTTTGTGCTCTTAGCAAAACCTCCCACTACCCACACAGTGGTGGTGCAGATATTCTTGCCAGGGGTGTACAGGTGAATGCTTGGACTGTTCAGAATGTCCATCTTCAAATTTGTGCCCAAAGGCAAGTGCCCAGTCACATGAGAAATAAACAGCTGTAGCTGTATAGTATAAGTAATAACATTCTTTGTCATAATATTCATTATAAGAGGAGTCATAAACCTTTTTGGCTGAATTTGCAAACTGGATAAACTGTTGTGGGCACCACAATCACACACACCACAACTTGCTCTATCGGCCAGAACCGAATGCTTCTTTTAAATCTAATTTCAGGTGCGGGGTTATAATTTCTTCAGGTTCCAGGGATGTGGGTGGCGCTGTGGTCTAAACCACTGAGCCTCTTGGGGTTGCTGATCAGAAGGTTGGCAGTTCAAATCCATGTGATGGGGTGAGCTCCCGTTGCTCTGTCCCAGCTCCTGCCAACCTAGCAGTTTGAAAGCATGCCAGTGCAAGTAGATAAATAGGTACCGCTCCAGCAGGAAGGTAAACGGCATTTCCATGCGCTCTGGTTTCCGTCACAGTGTTCCATTGCTTCAGAAGCATTTTAGTCATGCTGGCCATATGACCCAGAAAGCTGTCTGTCAACAAATGCTGACTCCCTCGGCCTGAAAGCGAGATGAGCGCGGCAACCCCACAGTTGCCTTTGACTGGACCTTTACCTTTACTTTTTTACAACATTGGCAATCCCTGTAACAATTACTTTCATCGCATGCACATTACAGCTGTTTGTATGCATGCTGGAGAAAAAAAGCAAAGCATAAAAGCGTAAACACAGCAGAATAGATTCTATTTCTCAACCTTTTCCTTTTGAATTGGAGTTGTAAAATGTCACACTAATACTTACAGGATTTTGTGGATTAATGGATATGAAGATTGTCTTATCAGTTCTACCATTCCCTGAATACAGGGTGGTAACATGTCCTATTTTAAGATGACATTCCTCAGTGGGAAAGGTTGCCCAATCTAATAGGGCTATGCACCAGATTTGGCCAATGACTGAGTCAAATCAGGCAGGTTTGGAGGACCTCAGATGAGTCAGGTATGTGCAGCCACAGATTGTTGCAAGTTAGGTTGGACTGGCCCTGGTAATCCTGTGTGTGTGCCCAACAGGATAGTACAGAGGCTCAGAAAACACCTTTCTCAGAACACTTTTCAAACTTGATACTGACACCTTATTGTCCTAGCCATAGCATCAAATCCCATCACATCTTGCAGCAGCAACCTTGCATGATATGGGCTGGGACCAGCCTAGGGTGGGGAACACATAAGTAAGCTGGGCAGGTGTGCAAGTAGAAGTATTAATCAGTTAACTGGTATGATCCTCCTGTCTTTCACCAGAAGGGGAAAGATCTTGCATAGTGGCCAAATCATACATGCCACGTTCCTACGGCTTTCTTGATGCAGAGAAGACACCCTTCACATGGTGCTGGGTGTACATGTCGTAAACCGAAGCAACATCCCTTATGTAAGAGACATTAATGTTGGTCCAAGTGGGTTAATGTGTCAAAATCAAGCAACTGATCTACCTGAGCCATGTTTTCATACCCAAGCTCCACTGTGGCATGACTTGGATGCATAATCCTTTGATCGCAATGGTGGTTTCTTCTGCCTTGCCTTTTCCATCCTTGACTAACAGCAGCCAGATAAAATGTCTTGCGGGGGAAGCCATAAAGGCTTTGGCTTTGGTGAGTCTCTAGGAGAAGAGACTTACAAATCCAGTAGCAGCCACCCAGAACGAGGATGTCTCCCTATGCTTAGAGTACTGTGGGACTCACACAGTGCACACAGCAATATTCAGGCAGTACATGCATATATCTGGTGTTTATTAATAACAGGCAATTAGTCCTCAGCCCAGCCCAATCCTGGAAACCTTATTCACTACTCTACCTGGGAAGTTCTTTTGCTGAATTTCTGGCAACACCACCTATTGGATTGGAGGTGTAACTGCATATGCAGCACCTGTTCAGTCAAATGGCTCCTCATCCATCTAGAACATGAATAATAGAATCATAGAGTTGGAAGGGACCCCCGAGGGCATGGATGCAGCCAGGATTTTTGTTGGAGGGGGAAACTGATGTGATTGGTCAATTAGTTAAGTATTTCTATTGTTTTACTTGATCTAGGGGAAACAGTTGCCCCCTGTCTCTCCTTGGCTATGTCTATGCTTGAGGGTGATCAAGTTCAACCCCCTGTATTGCAGGGATCTCAGATAAAGAATCCATGACAGATGGCCATCCAAACTCTGCTTAAAAACCTCCAAGGATGTCCATGTTTATATGCCTCTGAACTGCATTAGGACATTTGTGTAAAAGGTAAGGCTTTCACTGTATTTGATCAATGATATCTGAAAAGCAGGGAGTTAACATTTCAGTGACTAAATCATTAGTTTATTAGATAAATTTGCATTCTTCCTAAAATCTTCTTGGTTGAATTTATCCCAGGCGAATGACTTTGGTGTCTGCATATGTACATCCATCATTTATGGGGGGGGGGATATTTGCATATCTGTAAGCGCATTCCAGGCTCACAGTGATTATTTGCAAAACCATTCGGCTTTTGTTGAAACAACAAAGAATTGACCTGTCTAAATTTTGGAACAGCAGAAGCAGCTCAGCATAACAAATGGCTGTAAACAGCTGCTTAGCAATTCCAGTAGCAGAGTAGCTGTCACCGTCTACTGAAAGCAAGCTTTTATGAGGAACACTCTAAATTCCTGAGGCATCCTCCTTCACTTATGGGTCATAATGTTTGCCAAATAGAGTGGGACACATGCCGCGTTTGGGCATGTTTTCTCCATCTGCCTTGTTTCTGAAAGGTCCCATTAGGATGTCCTGGGAGCTGGACCAGGCTTCCTCTGAAGTGTTGCAGCTATTATGCTATAGCCTCCCTAGGGAGGTTCACTGGCCCATCTCACTGCTTAGTTTTAGGGCAACTGTGTGTTGTTGTTTTTCAGTTGGGCCAGAAATGTAATTAGGTGCTTTCTGGTTTATATTATTGTGTGTTAACCTTGTTACGATTCAGACCTTTTGCATGGAAAGACAGAGAGCAGAGACAGGGAGCTGGAACGAGCCAATGGGTAGGATTCTGATCTCCTCCTCTCTTCTCACCCTGCAGGCCTTGCTTGACCACTGTGACTCACCTAACATCGCAATGACCACCTGTCACCTTCCATCACCTGTCATCACAGCCACATCTTTACCTAGTCCATACCTGACATCATATATGAGATTAGGTGCAGGGCAGCTAGGTGTGGCTGTAGCCAAACAGTTTCAAGGGCCAAATGGGGAGCTCTGGAGAGCAAGGGATCAGAAGTTCTCCACCACTGATATATTGGAGGGAGCATGGCCATGTGCACTAACTGGACCATCCCCATCTCCACGGGCTGCAGCTTCACACCTTCGTGCATTGGGTGGGAGGGCCAAAGGAGGATTCCTTGTGAGTTCAGGTGAACATGTGAATAATCCTCTCTAGAAAAGAGAGCTCCAATCATGCAAAGTTCCTGATTGTGTAGATGAGTCTACCAACATTCAGCCAAACTGCCCTTCTGACATGACCCAATGGATGAGGATTCTGGGATTCTGGGGACAGAGCCAATCTTCCCCTTTCATGTATTCTTTGAAGGCACAAGGGAAATAGCAGGTTAAAAGGGTTCCTTCATTTTGCTGGTATCTATCTGGTTTGGTCGTTTTCTATTTTATTTATTTATTAAACAATTATGGCCTTGAATGTTCCATATTTTCTTGCCTTGGGTATCTTTGGAAAAAGATGCATGAAATTACTTCCAGAAACAAATGACTACAGCAGATATTGCCTATACAAGATCAAAAGGTCACACGCATTCAGACTCCTCTAGTGGAAGCTGATTGTTGACAGAGTGAACCAAGAGGTCAGAAATGATACTATAATTGGGTGCTTTTGGTATCACTTAGCCTACACATGATCCCTTGCTGGGGAATATAGGAATAAGAAACTTGAAGACAGAATTCTGTTTGAATCTCTCACATGCCATTGCTTTCACTCTGCAAACTTTGATACCAATGAGATGATTGACCAAAGCCTCTTAGTAAAATTGCGAGCACCACTGGGTCAAAAATGGGCCTTGTACAAGTTCATGCAAAGGGGGGGTAATAACAAATTGCTTGTGGCCTCTGATTCTTTTTTTTTTTAATTTCCCTTTGGGGCAAATTAAGTTTCTTTACCTCAGAGATGCAGGAAAGATATTGCAGATGTGGTTTATTGTGCAACCACATTTGCAACATGTCTGCAGAGAAGGAAATGCTCCCTTTGGAAGAAGCGGCTTCAATCCACAGGGAAACTGTTAGAACATGACCAAGCGAATTTTCTTTTTTCTCTCTTTCCAAAATAAGATGCAGCCTAAAAAATGGTCATCTTTCAAAATTTGCGCTTCTCCAAATTTTGCAGTGCAGTTCTCCAGCCAAGCAATGTGTACAGAAATGCAGGGTAAGGAACATGTATAAAAACATATTTAGCAAAAATAAGTATTAAAATGCATCCTATTTGGGGAAATTCGTTTGCAAAAAAATGTGTATATTAGGCAAAATAGCATATTGTAGAAAGATGATGTTGAATTTTCATAGGAACTTTTTTTTCAAAATGCAAACTTGTGCAAAAATTTGGAGAATTTAACTTATTACTGAAAAAATGAGAAACTGGGAGAAACTGAAACTGACATATCTGCCCATCCCTACTTGTCACACAGGGCAGAAAGAAGCAGGCTTCACCTCAGTCTTTATGTCTGAAGAAAGTCTATGCATGTATATGTTAAAATGTGTACCTGGCTACATACAGATGTTTCATTGTCTGAACCTATACGCTCCCTTCCTGCCACATGTTCACTCATTTGATGTTGTTTTATTTTATACAATACACACACACAGAGAGAGAGAGAGAGAGAGAGAGACTGTCAGCTGACATTAGCAACTAAAAATATTCCATCAGTTTTGATGGATTAATATAGGCCAGGGGTAGCCAGCCTGGTGCTCTCCAGATGTTATTAGACTACAACTCCCATCATGCCTCACCATTGGCCATGCTTGCTGGGGCTGATGGGAGTCCAACAGCATTTGGAGAGCATCACACTGACTGCCCCTGATGTGGGTAGTGCACATTGACTGCAAAGTGAGTCTCATTGTATTTACTGAACATCTGTGAAGGGCTGAGCCAATCATGGCACATACACACAGTTTTTACTATGATTAGCCACTTTGCATAATGAATTGAAATCGCTCTCTTCCGAGGTGATAAAGTGGGGTGGAGGGAGTTCAGTTCAAAGCATACAGGTTTTAAATAATTTCTGTGCTGATCAGAAAATACGCTGAGTTTTAATATTAATGCCAAATCACAGAAGGAAAATTCTCAGTGCTACGGGAGGGCATTTTGCTGCGCAGAAATACTCGCAGGGCGTAGGTAACAGGAGCAGCTTGTGATATTGCCTTTCGTTTCTAATGCAACATTCATGCTTGATGTGTCTCTCCTTACCGTCCCAGAATATTGCTGTGCACACTTTGTTCAAGCAAGTGCCACAAACAAAGCTGAGCTGTAGCCGGGTGGAAATATATTCTTAGTTGGCAGCCAGAAATGCATTTTTGTTTAATGGGAACCGCGGGGAACTGTGGAAAGGCGTTGTCCCCCCCCCCACACACACAAGTCATTTCTGAAAATGGAGCTTCTCAAGAAGCTGAGAAGGGAAGGGAACAATGCATGTTGGCGGAGGTGAGAGAGGTGCTTGCTGGGTGAACTTGGCTTCAGCTCAGAATAATTCTGAGTCTGGTGCATTCAGCAGCCCTGGACAGGATAGGATTGCTGAAGGCAGAATGCAGCCTTCCAGCATGAGATCCCTGAACTTGACAGGTGGGACAAATGCAGAAGGACACACACACACACACACACACACACACACACACATACACGACAAATGCTGTGTTTGAATTATCGTGCCTACACTCCCACACATTGCCACTTTCACAGGGCCAATGTCTTTGCGCTGAAATAGCTGCCACCAAAGGAAAACTCAGTTTGGAAAAATGAAACCCGGAATGAATAAATCATGGAGGGGCTCTTCAAGCCTTGACAGTTTATCCAAGGCTCTTTGGGTGGTGAAAGACAGCACAATGCTGAGCCCGGAGGAGGGAGTGCCATTGTTCGGGTGTGTTTATGTGCCACATGAGCCCCTCACCTTGGATTCATGGTTTCTTTTTAAAGCAAGCGGCGCCCAGGTTGGCCGTCTGGCAAGGAGGTGGGAAATGGACGGGAACAAGCAGCTTATGAAGGTCATCCACGAAATGCGCTCGGAAATCATCAAGCTAGAGAGAGAGAACAGAGCCCTCCGGGGGCAACTGACATGCAGCAGGCAGAAGGCAGCAAAGCGAGAGGAGGGAGAAGGGGCCGAAGACAAAAAGGACAAGGGCTGGAGCCTCGCAGACTCAGTCGAAGAGGCCGCTGCCTCGCCAGTGACTCTGCGCAGGAACGTCTCGGCAGGCTCTGCTCTGACACTACAGGAGCAAAAAGGTACCCATGATTCCTGGTGGGGCAAGTTATGGCTGAACCTTTTGTTTAGTGACCCTTCCTGGGCTAGAGGAAGAGGGAGGGTAGCCAACATGGAGCCCTCCAAATGTCATTGGATTCAGTTCCCATCAGCCCCAGCTGGCATGGGTCAGGGATGAGGGGAGTTGTAGTCTGAAGGGCACCGTGTTGGCTAACGCTGAGATAAGCTAAAGTATTCCACTGATAGTCACAAGCTGCTCTTGGTAGGCCTCAGGAACTCATCCTGTTACACTCAGAAATTAGGACAGCAGTAATTATTATTACTTTTGTTGTTTTTATTTTTATTTATTGAATTTATATACCGCCCTGTACCCAGGGGTCTCAGGGCGGTTCACAGAATGAAATCAAGCACAAAATACCTAATAAAAATAAAAACAACATCCCAATAGCACCCCCCCAAAAAAACCACATTTCAAAAGCAGCTGTTGTAACGAGGCATGAACTAAAGATTGGATACAGAGTTCTGATATTCCAGTCTCCCAAATCGAGGCAGTCTAATTGACATACAAATGGTTTGCTAATTATGTAAATCAAGTTGTGAGTTTGAAAATGGCTAAGCACCACCATCACTACTTTTTGTTTACCTCATGCAGCCTCTTACCTTAACAGCAGGGAAGTGGAGTGTTGTTGTTGTTTTTCAAAATAATAATAATAATTTATTCAATTTATGTACTGCTCTTTATCCAAAGATCCCGGGGCGGTGTATGACATTAAGAACATAATTTACATAGCATAATTATAAAAGACAATAAAAAACAATCACAGAAAAATATCATAATAGCAGTCCCCCCACATTTAAAAGGCCATAGATTGTTTAAAGTGTTGGGCTTTCCTTTCATGTTACATGGAGAAGGCTTGCATTCGAACCTTGCAAAGCCTAAATGAAAACTAAGATGTCTAAAGATGAAATTTGGCCATACTTTCCTGAAAGTAAGCCTCAGGCTGGACGTTTTGCCACTTGAGGTAAAAAAAAAAATGAACCTACCACTGCCTCCAACAGCCATGGGTGCACCATGCTACAGGTCACCACCATGACAGCGAAGCAGGTGTACCATATACCCATCCTGTTGCTCCACAGATGAGACTGTGGAGGAGAAGGCAGGGGCACAGCCATGTAGGAGGAGGGGGGGCAAGCAGCAGGCTCCTTGGGCCCAGACCTTCCACCTGAGGCGACCGCCTCACCTCAAGGGCAGGCCAGCCTTAGTAAGCCTCATTAGAAACACAGATCTCACTTCTGAGTAAATTCTCATAGGAATGCTAAGAACAGTGCAAGGGGGGATCAGGCTCATTTCCCACAAAACCACTGGGGAGAATGGCGCCAGCACATTTTGCTTTCTGTCACAGGACAGAGGGCAAGGGACTTCCTTTTAAAAAAGGAGAGAGAACTAGAAATCCAGTCCACCATTGTGTAAATGGGCATTGGGTGGCATGCCTAACATCTGGCCAGCTGGATAACATGGCACCCCTAGTTAAGTAGCATTTTGCAGCCTATCAAAAAGGTCTTTGGGAATGGCCAAGAGCTCAGCACAAGTTGCGCATAGTAATAATACTGTGGGGGGTATTTGTTTGTTAATATGGTATGTATTTTTGTGTTTTTATATTATTCACCACCCTGTGATCCTCGGATGAAGGGTGGTATAGAAATTTGATAAATAATGATAATAATATCTCAAGTCTCCAGTTTGCAGTTTAATTGGTCTTTTGCATTTGCAATCAATTTGGCTCCAGGACAGGCTGCTCTCACATGTAAGGATCCCTCCTTGTTCCCTTGGTTCCAGTACAATTCAGGTCTCTCTCTTTTTTGGAGATTCTGTACGACAGGAAGTGAGGGGGCTTATGTCTCACAGGCTAGGTCTGACCCACTGGTGAATTTCGTCAAGCCCATGATCCAGCCTTTCAAAGGTCTCCAGCAAGTTAATCTGCACTTTTCAAGGGTGGCACTTCTCGGGTTGGAGGTTATCAGCCAGCCTGTGCTTTCATGTCAGAGCCAGTGTGGTGTAGTGGTTAAAAGCAGTGGACTCGTAATCTGGTGAACCGGGTTCGATTCCCTGCTCCTCCACATGCAACTGCTGGGTGACCTTGGGCTAGTCACACTTCTCTGAGGTCTCTCAGCCTCACTCACCTCACAGAGTGTTTGTTGTGGGGGAGGAAGGGAAAGGAGAATGTTAGCCAATTTGAGACTCCTTGGGGTAGTGATAGGGACGCGGGTGGCGCTGTGGGTAAAAGCCTCAGTGCCTAGGGCTTGCCGATCGAAAGGTCGGCGGTTCGAATCCCCGCGGCGGGGTGCGCTCCCACTGCTCGGTCCCAGCGCCTGCCAACCTAGCAGTTCGAAAGCACGTCAAAGTGCAAGTAGATAAATAGGGACCGCTTTCTAGTGGGAAGGTAAACGGCGTTTCCGTGTGCGGCTCTGGCTCGCCAGAGCAGCGATGTCACGCTGGCCACGTGACCCGGAAGTGTCTCCGGACAGCGCTGGCCCCCGGCCTCTTGAGTGAGATGGGCGCACAACCCCAGAGTCTGTCAAGACTGGCCCGTACGGGCAGGGGTACCTTTACCTTTACCTTTAGGGTAGTGATAAAGCGGGATATCAAATCCAAACTCTTCTTCTTCAGAGGAATACCTTCTCAGGTGAGAAGCTGGTCAGTGCTATCTAACAGTGGAGGTTGATCCATTAGGATGCATGGTCAATTTCCCCACCACCTCAGTCAGATTCCAGCTGATCTGTTAGGTTAAGATTGTCACTCCAGGCTATTAATGAGAAAGGTTTTTTATTTTATTTTTTAAATATTTTTATTTTATTTTTTAAAAAGACGAAACTACATGGATTACAATCTTTGCACAGGTAGCATTATGACGGTGAGGCGTTATTCCATCTCCTCATCTGTGCCTTCACTCCCTGGCAACAAACACCATAAATCTGACAAGAGGAATCCATTCAAGGGAGCCCTAGATGTGAAGGAGATAATCAAGCAGCCGGCCTTTCCCACAGATACGCAACTAACCAACAAAGAAGAAAAAGGAGTTGCAAAAATTCCATCCGATTGCCTCTCCAGCAGTACATCCAACAAAAGGAGATCTTTCCAAGACCATGTTTACAAATGCAGGTAAGTCCGAATGAAATGATGGTTGAAGCTTCAAGAAATCCCTTGTCAGGTTATTGAAGAATGCAAAAGTCTGGTTTACCTGATGGCTCCAATCATTTTATAATGTCAGAAGTTGGCAATTTCATATCATTGGTATTGCTTCCTACAGCTATGGGACTGGACTTGAGCATATTTAATTGAAGAATGAGCTTGATAAATCTCATGACCATATCCATCCATTAGACATCTATTTACGAATTAGTTATTTTATTAAGAGATTTATATCCTGCTGTTCACCCAAAATTGGTTACAGAGGCTTACAAAAAAAAGTCAAAGCATACCCGGTGCAATATTGCAAGCTGTAAACAGGGATGGAGAACCTGTGGCCTTCCTGATGTTGCTGGACTGCAACTTCTATCAGCTCCAGTCATCAGGGATGATGAATGTTGTGTTCCAACAGTATCTAGAGGGCTACAGAGTCCATATCCCTTGTGCAAAGCATGTCAACTTTGCAATGCCAAGTTTCACTATCATGGCAATCAAGAGGAAGCTTACGTGAAGTGCTCTGTGTGACTCAGGCTGCAGTCCTAAACACAATACCTACAATGTTCACCTCCTTGGCTGTAGTAGGACTTGCTTCTGACTTAACATGCATCAGATTACAATCTCACTTGTAGAATCACAGTCCCCTGTGAGCAGCATTCCAGTTATCCCACTGGTGCCTTTGGGGCGTGCACATCTATTTAGAAGAGTTTTGGATGTCTTGACTATAATTAGCTTCCATATGAGGAACAGGAACATCAAGAAACATTTTTGCGCTATTCATAAGTGGACAGCTTCACCAGGACCCAGAAGCTGCACACGAATTGTTAACTGTCAAGCAATGCCCAGTATTTGCTTCAGAAACATTTGCTAACAATGCTGAGCCATATTTGCAGATGTAAACCCTTTGCAAGCGTATACAAGTGCATGGTGCCCTCCAGATATTGTAGCCAAACTCCCACCACCCAATCATCCCATCCATTCTTAGGGATGATGGAAGTTGTAGTCCAGCAACATCTGCAATGCTCTACAAGGCTAGTATTGTTATAGTGCCCTGTGGCTTTGAAGTGGTTATTCCGTGAGTCTTCCACGTTGAGTAGTTATTATAAAAGGAATGCTGGAGGATTCATCTAGATGAGTAGGAAGTGCAGTCTACACCATGGGGGAACAGAAAGGAATTCAAATACATTTATTTATTTTTACATTATAGTCTGGAATGGATTAGCATGCTTTAAAAAAAAATCCCCAAAAGGTAGACAACATGGGTCTGCAAACTGAGGGTCGTGGGCTGGATCAGGCCCAATTGCCTTCTAGATCTGGCCCACAGACAGTCCGGGAATCGCTGCATGGATCACCAGCATGTGTTTATTTCCCTCTCCCTCCCTCACACGGCAGCGGTGGCGGTGGTGCCTCCTCCCTCCCTCCTCCTGGCTTCTCCCTGCCCTGCCTAGAGGAGGAAGGGGGCTGGGGTTGTTGGTGCAAAGCAGCAGCGCTTGAGCGGCTACCATCTTAAGCAGTCCCTCTCCGAAGCCCTTTTTGCACACCGCTCATCATCCCTCCGCCGCTGCTGCCGCCGCCGTGCTGCTCACAAGACACAGGTAAGCAGCCATGGTGCATCATTATTATTTTTCTTCCAAAATATAGTCTGGCCCCCCACAAGTTCTGAGGAACAGTGGACCGGCCCCCTACTGGAAAGGTTTGCTGATCCCTGGTATACAATCTAGGACAAAGTTGGCAACCTGTGGCCCATAGATATTATTGACTAGGGCTACCATCAATCTTGACCATTCGCTATGCTGGCTTGGGCGGATGGAAGTCAGGGTCCAACATCTGGAGAGCTAATGGTTCATCAGCCAAGATCTAATTCAAGATACGTTTGCAATGATGAATTATGTCGTATTGATACATTTGTGATCCAGAAGGTAAAACATAGCGCATAACATTTTGTTCCAAATATCTTGCACATGTTTCTTTTTTCCCTAGGGGTAAAGTAAAGGCTGTCAGTTTCCTGTTACCCATGGACATGTCACATTATTCAGAAAATCAAGGCTCTTTCACATGCTCGCAAAATCAGAACACAAAACAGTTAAGCACCATTATTGAAAAGGACATGTGAGCCGGTGAATATTTAAAGGGCCACCGTTGACTTCAGAGATAAACTCGCCTGAAGCAAGAGCCCTGCATCAGATTACATTTCTGCAAAGCTGTTTGGCAGAATGCCCTCAGAGAATCACCCAGGCCAGCACTGCAGGTCATTGGCAGATTGTTTTGCAAAGGGGGGGGGGGAACCTGTGACAGAGACTGTCAAAAGCCTGTGCGAGGAGGGCTGAAAGAAACCCAGTGATAACAAATGCCTCTCTGCTGTATTTTATTTTATTTTTTACTTCATGGTTTATTTCCGGAACCCCATTAAACAGCATTTTATATAACAGTGTTCACTGTGGTCTTTTTAAGAGCGTGTACTATAACCTCCCTTTACTGCTCAAGCTGCCAGAAATATAGAAACTTGTAAAGAAAGGAGATAGTGTCTATTTTATAAAGCTTTAAAAAATATGTGAAAGAAATATGGGAGCGTATTTGTCTTTCAAATAATAAAAGTTTGGTTTGTGTCCATTTGCATTTAGCCCCTGAAACATTCTGACAAATTACTAAAAACATACATATTAAAACATGGTGGATTTTAAGTATTCCATTTTTGCTATGCTTGCTCACACAATACCTGACTTTACTGATATATGCATTTAATTGCTCTTGTAATTAAACTGTTACTAGCAGGAGATATTAAACCAGCTTCCATGAGTAGGCATTTTCATTTTCAAAGTGCAATATTTGATGGCTAGTTTCCTTTAGCTAAATATTCCTGAAGAAGGAAGACCCTAAGAGCATTGCTAGATCAGACCTAGGGTCCAGTCTATGTTATGCTTAAAGTAGATCCGATGAAATAATTGGGACTTAAGTTAGCCATAACTAACTTGATTGATTTCAGTGAGTCTACATGGAGCAAGATAGGAGTCTGGATACAACCCAGGCAAGAGTGAGATCAATGACAATGAGAGTAGAAGAGGCAAAAGGTCCTCAAAGATGCTTGGCAAGCTGAATGCTGACACTTAAGAGTACTGAAGGAGTTTGTGGGTGCAATCTCGAGCCCCTGTCCATAATTCTTGAGAATACTTGGAGAACAGGTGAGGTCCCTGCAGACTGAAGGTGGGCAAATGTTGTCCTCATCTTCAAAAAGGGTGGAGACCCAGGTGACTGCTGACCACTCACCTTAACATCAATACCAGGAGAGGTCCTAGAGCAGATGATTCAACAGTTGGTCTGTGAGCACTTAGAGGGAAATGCTGTGATTGCTAGGACCCAGCATGGCTTTCTCAAAAGCAAGTCATGCCAGATGACTCACATTTCTTTCTTTTTTTCATGGAATCACAGGCTTGGTGGATCAGGGGAATGCTGTGGACATAGTGTATCTGGATTTCAGTAAGGCCCCCATGATATTCTTGCAGAGAGGCTGGCGGGGCGTGGGTTGGATTCAGTAACTGTTAGGTGGATTTGTATCTGGTTGGCTGACTGAGTCCAAAGAATGCTCACGGGTAGTTCCTCATCATTCTGGAAGAAAGTGACAAGTGGGGTGCTACAGGGTCCTGGGCCATTGTTGTTCAGCACCTTTATAAACCAGTTGGTTGAAGGAATTGAGGGAATGCTCATTACGTTTGCAGATGACACTAAGCTGGGAGAGTGGCTGACGCTGTGGAGGACAGAACTGGGATTCAGGATGACCTTGAAAGATTGGAGAGCTGGGCCAGAACAGACAAAATGAATTTCAGTGGGGACATATGTAAGGTTCTGCACTTGGGCAGGAGTGACCAGCTACACAGGTATGAGATGGGCAACATCTGGCTTGCTGGGGATGTGTGTGGAGAGGATCTTGGGGTCATGGTGGACCACAGGCTTAACATGAGCCAACAGTGTGATGCAGCAGCAAAAAAGGCTGGTGTTGTTCTGGGCTGCATCAACGGAGGTGTGGTGTCCAGATCCAGAGAGGTGATGGTGCTTATGAGGAATTGTTGAGGGAGTTGAGTTTTCCCTACTTGAAACATTTCACAAAAAATGAGGCCTTTGGCAAAGAATGGCATTCCTGCTAAAAGATGACTTTGCAAATGATAGACGCTTCCTTTCATGCCACAAAAGCAAGTGCTAATTTGATGTCTCATATAAAACATTTATTGTCCAAGTAGAAACTATACCAAACACCAGGAAGGTGCCTTCACAGTGACACTCATACAGATCTGCATATATGGAATTTGCTTGGAAACCAGCCATCGATTCCCAGTGAGCTATGCATGGCAACCATGGCTGCTAACATTTTCTGATTTTTACTAACATGGGTGAAACTAAGATATAAAACAGTTGTGGGTGAAATCAAAATACATTCTGTTCTCTTTTTTTCCATGTAATGCTAGTGAAGGTGTTTCAGGGCCTAGTACAGGACTGAGGGGACGCGGGTGGCACTGGGGGTTAAACCACAGAGCCTAGGACTTGCTGATCAGAAGGTCGGAGGTTCGAATCCCCGTGTCGGGGTGAGCTCCCGTTGTTCAGTCCCTGCTCCTGCCAACCTAGCAGTTCGAAAGCACGTCAAAGTGCAAGTAGATAAATAGGTACTGCTCCGGCAGGAGGGTAAATGGCGTTTCCGTGCACTGCTCTGGTTCGCCAGAAGCGGCTTAGTCATGCTGGCCACATGACCTGGAAGCTGTACGCCGGCTCCCTCGGCCAATAAAGCGAGATGAGCGGCCACGATTGGACCTAATGGTCAGGGGTCCTTTTACCTTTACCTTTTACAGGACTGAGGGGAGGGGAAAGGAGCTATGTAACTCTTTCCTTCCAGCTGCAAATCCTTCTCTGGGCTGCTTTCATCCTTAAAAGGAAAACACAGAGATCCCTATATCATACTGTTTGTGTATGTGGGTGTAGAGAGCAAGAGAGGCAGGGGATATTGGGCAATTTAAATTCTAAGGGCAACAGCTTCCACTGACCATTGTCTTAGGGGTCATCCACACTCACCTTTTGCCCCATGCTTTCCCAGGCACAGGACCATTCCTGGTCCATGCCTGAGCTCTTAGTTTTCCTCCACCACTTTCCGCAGAAAGACTTTAGTGCTGAATCGGAACAAGTGGCAATTTGCCGCTTGCTTTCATTCAGTGGTAAAGAGTGGGTTTTTGTGGGGAAAGTGCTGGGGGCGGGGGCGCTCAAGCACAGAGCTTTAAAGCGCAGAGCTGTGCCTAGAAAACACAGCACAAAAGCAAAGTCTGGATGAGCCCTTAGTAGAGCTTAAATGCACTGCCATACCGATTATATCCTCCTATGTTACTACTTTCTTTTTCTTTCTTTTTTGGAAGTCAAACACAGTTTGGGGATAAGGTGACAAAGACTTTAAAATACGCAGACAACTGGAGCACAACTCCCTTCAATCTCACACAACAAGATGTGTCATGTTCACACACGGAAAACAAGTCAAGACTGCAAACAGGGAAATACCCAGAGTTTGCTTCATTATTGCTACCAGTGATTTCAAAATATGTCAATATCAGTGCACTTAATGTACTACTACTGTATGCGAAGTCAGGACTCCAGGAGAGCAACAGCAAAACATTACATTACAGAACACACTTGTACTCTTCGACTTTAAAACTCAGGAGCTTTTTAAAGCAAATTGCAGAAATTGGATCGGACGTTCCTAATCCGCGCCGCCGCTGCTGCTGGCTTGCTTCTGCCTTGTGTAAGATGATAAGGATCTTTGCTTGACTGCTGGTCACCATGGAGACTTACATTGGTCTCTGAATCACGAGGTTTGCCTGTAAAGACATGTTCCTTCCATGAGAGCTCTTAAAGATGGCGGGCCCTGTCTTAATAACAGCATCAAGCCTGAGTCTAACATTATCTTGAAAATCTGGGGTAATTTTAAAGCCTGAGAATGGAGAGGACTGCGATGAGAAGCTCTGCTTCCAGTGCCAAGTGCTATGTGCTACATCAGGGATACCCAATGCAGTGCCCGCCAGATGTTATTGGACTCCAACTCCCATCAACCCCAGCCAGCATGAAGGGAGTTGTAGTGTGAAAACACCTAGAGGGCACCGTGTTGGCTATCTCTGTGCTATGTTGAAGGAATCCTCTCCCAACACCCCTCTACACTCCACTCTGTGGAGAATAAACCTTTTTAGGTGTCTTCTTGCCTCATCAATATATATTTGAGTACTATAGGACAAAGATTTTGCTTAGAACACATTGAGAGATTTTCTTTAAAAGCTGAAACAGCCTCCCATTTCACAGGGGCCACAAGATCTGCTGGATAGAAATACTGATATAAAGTTTGAATGAGCATTTTTTCGTCCAATAAAATGCTATGGTTTTCCAGACTATGTATTCTTGACAAAAGAAAAGAAAAGACATTTGCACCATAGTTCAATCATTTCACACTGCATGCATTTTCTAACACAGTTTCATCTCTCTAGTAACATGAGAATGTACATCAAACCCAAAGCTAAAACAAGCAAAAGCCAGGCTGCTTGCCTTGAAATATCTCCGGAAGCTATAGGTTAGTTTGTGGGTTGGACTGTTTTCCTTCTTCCCAAATGAATACCTGCCCTTGCTATGCCTCTACTCAGCCACTAACTTGAGTGTGCCATGATTTGAGAGCCAGTAGCGTGAATGCAAACTGGTGCATCATATGATGTTAGTATCATACAATCATAGAGTTTTCTATCAACATCAAGTTATTTCTTAGTGCAGGGCAACAAGGCAAACATGACTGCTGTATCTCCCATCCAAGGTTGAAGCTATTGGAATCCTGGCAGGACTGTCCCTGGGAGGGTGGAGGCAAGGCAAATCATCACCCTGTGCCCCCCTCGTTGCTGCCATCTTCCCTCTGCCACTCCGCCTACTCTTGATGGTGAAGGTGGTGGCAGGGTGCCCCTCCATGCCCCAGATTACGTTCTTTCTGTTGTCATTGCTCTGTCTCCACCTCTTCCCTCCCTGCCTTCCCGTGAGGAGACCCATTGGGTGGGTGGGAGGCAACTGGGCTGGGCTGGGCAGGCAGCTTGGCTGCTGGCCTTGGTCACTGCTACCGAGGATAGAGCCCCTCAGGACCATTGCCCCACCCCAGAGGTGGGGTGTATCCTAGCCCCATTCCCACAAACCCTAACTTCTGCCTGACTTCTTAATACAGTGGTACCTCGGGTTAAGAACTTAATTTGTTTCGCAGGTCCGTTCTTAACCTAAAACTGTTCTTAACCTGAAGCACCACTTTAGCTAATGGGGCCTCCCGCTGCTGCTGTGCCGCCAGAGCACAATTTCTGTTCTCATCCTGAAGCAAAGTTCTCAACCCGAGGTACTATTTCTGGGTTAGCAGAGTCTGTAACCTGAAGCGTCTGTAACCTGAAGTGTATGTAACCCGAGGTACTACTGTACCTGCTAAGTCCTTTGCTCTTGATTCATTTCTTCCTTTGACGCTGGTGTGTGCTTCTGTGGGGCTATCTGCATATTTCATTGCTATGATAGGAAGTGATGTCTCATCTGAATCTGAAAAGGAATAGAAATAGGTACGTGTCATTTATTTTTTACAGCTGGGTCCTGCAGCAAATATTGTAGTATGGCTTCTCCTGTTAACTTTTCCAGTAAGTCAACCATGTCCTCCAACACAATACTCCATGTTGTTTTGCCTTCCACCTGGTTTTCTGTTCCCCGCCCCTCAACATTCACTCAGCTTTCCATGGCTACTTAGCTTGCTCACTTCCCATCGGGATGTTTTTGGAGTCCCTTGTTTCCCAATATCAAAAAAAATATTTTACGCTTCTGTTAACTTTGGAGTTCCCTCAAGTCTGCTGATCTCTCCCTCCCTCTCTCTCTCTCTCTCTCTCTCTCTCAAATATATTTTATTAAGATTTCTTAGTTTACAAAAATACCTGCAATGTCTCTTTTTTCAAGCTGCGTTTTCTACAGATCAGTTTCATTTGTTGTGAGAAATTAGTGTTACATTAGGAAGAAAAGGAGGAAAGAGGTGAAGGGGCGAATGGTGAGTGAGGTGGGGTCGGGTGGCCATGCTTCTATTCTTCTACTTAGCATATGTGTGGGGTTTTGTGTCAGCATCACATGTGGGTTCTCTTACTATTTGCTTGTTGTATTTCTTTGGTGGTGAGAGATGTTGGGGTGGCCTAGGGTGTGATTGGTTGTCTTTGGCTGGCTGTAGTGAGATTTGTTTTTGTGTTTGAGTGGGTGTGTGTGTGTGTGTGTGTGTGTGTTGATTGCTATGATTGCAGATTGATTCCTATGCTGTCGGCGGATTCTTGTTGTTATCTTGTTGGGCTGTGTATGTGATAAAGTGCATGATGGGTGATGCCCTCTTGACAACATAAGCCAGGGCACTCATGGCCTGAGCATCAGAAACAGCGAAATGATGAAATAAAAAGGAGTCCATTTGCTCTCCTTCCTCTACCTTGTGGACATGCGCTTTGGAATGCTTCAGCGCTGCACTCGAGAGACAGTTGAGCAGATTCATGGCTGGGAACAGGATCCCTCGGTGGTCTTCCCATGACCTCATCCTCAGTTGCCATTGTATTCCGGACCAGGAAGTAAGTGTGCATTTTCCCTTTGCCCTTTACATCAATTTCTCCCCTATCCATCATTTCAAAATTCTTGTCCTTTAGGCACCTGAAACATAAATAAAGCAGCACATCTAAGCAGTGGGTTATGAAAATGGCACAATGACAATAATTATATCAGCCTCTATTGTGGAAAATTCAACACGGCTTAGGTTCTGTTGAAAGACCTGGAATGGTGACACAATGGTAATTTAACTAGCAGAAGCCTATAAAAGAACATGCATTGAAATGCTTGTCTTCCAGAATGACTCATGGCTATAGAATGATGGCTCTGAACTCACAGCCCAACATCTTCAAGCACAGGCTCTGCACCTGCCTGAAATATTAGTGGTGTTATGACAGTGTCCTGAATGGCACGAACTGTGCCTGCCCTTTTGTCACCACTTAGCAATATCACTGTTCTTATACAATGATGCTTATGTCCCAGTGTTCAGTGCAAATTGGTGGGGCCCATTTAGGTAGGATGCTATAAATAAATACTAGAATCTAAAAAAAACCTCTCATTCAGAATTAATTAAAGTCAATGGCTATTTTCTTTAAAATGCAGAAAACGCAGGGGAAACATGCATTTTATTACAGTAATTCATCCCTTCACAGAAGCAAGGATTCTTATAAGGCTCCTTGTCTACATTAATGCCTTTCTCCACATTGTTCTCTTGTAACATGCATTTAAAGTACATCTCAGCCAGGGCAGACAAACAAGACATTCCATGTCACCACCCAAATTACTGCACTAAAAATGATCCCACTGCAATTTTCAGCAAAACAAGGCTCTCACATTAACCCTAAGGGATCTTGAGTGAGGAAGGTTGGATCTACACCCAGAATCTAAGGATTCTTTTTGGATGGTGTTGATATAGCTAGGTCACCATCATCTGTGAACAAACCATTTTAGGGTCTTCTGTGCTCTAAATCGTGCCATCATCTATCTTGTATTTTCAAAACCACAACCACAAAAATCACCATTCCCCAGTAAAGTAGAGCTCAACAGCCAAAATGTAAATGACATGTATTTTTGTGGGAAGGGAACATTTGGTAATTAACTCCACTAATTTGGGAACAAATCTAAATACTTTTAAAGTAGCTCCAATAAGAAAGCAGACGCTATCCTATCACAAGGGGGGGGGATGCTCCCCAGCAGCTGATATTCAGAGACATATTGTCTTTGATACAGGAGGCAATCTATCCCTTATGAATAGTAGCCATTAACAGCCCTATGCCAAGTCAAGAGTTCAGTGCAAAGCACTATTAATGGATTGTCTCAGAGCTTACTCACTGATGAACGCTGGCACTCAGGTGAATTTTGCTTGGTACCCCATGGCTCTCCATCCGGGATGCTATATTCACTGTGTCTCCAAACAAGCAATAACGTGGCATTTTTTCTCCAACAACTCCAGCAAGGACAGGCCCTGTGTGGATCCCAACTCTGATCTGAGCAAGAGTTTTTTGGGGAAAAGATCACTTCCACAACAGGTTTTGTTTCAAGCACAATCTATCCAGAAGTTCTAAAACACAAACTAAACAGTCACAAGCCATAATCCACAGTTCCCTATGATGAACTCTGTTTTATTATTATTATTATTATTATTATTATTATTATTATTATATACTGCTTACATGCTAAAATGGCTTCTAAGCACTGTTGAACCCAGGCCATTGTAATTCTTCATAAAAATTGATACTATTCATAAGCATTGTGGTGCAGGGTGAGAAGCAAATCTATCAGGCTGTTCTTTCTGAGAGACAGAAACTGAAGCTCTAGCCCTGAATTCAGAGGTCTGAAAATAAGTGCAACTCTCTCGATCACACTTGCAAGGACATCACTACAGCTGACACAGGAGGACACAATCTACCAGGAAGGTCTTGCTCACCATCCCCAACCCTTTGAAAGAAAATGGAGTTATCGAGTACATAAAATGGGAATTTCTATAACAGGACTGGGGGAATCGCAGGTCTGGGGGCTGAATGGGGTCCTCCAGGCCTCAGGACCAATCCTGCAGAGACATTTGTGTGTGCTCATGGTCTCCTGTCCTTCTAGCCCTTGTATCTCACATATGAAAACCGAACCTTTAGCCATATATCCCCCACTCCAAATCTCTCTGTGCAGAGACTTGCCCTCCTGCATGATCAGGGATCCCTGTTGTGTTAATGCACAAGCCAGCTCCACACACTCATCCCTTTGCATGCACAAAGCTTCCTGTTCCCTTGAACTGAATTATGGTACCCTTGCTGGGTTCAGAGCTCTGTGTGCACATTAAATACCTTGCAATTGAAAAGAACTGATGGCCTTTGGGACGTTGGTCTTTAGTCATCCCAGTGAACTTGTCAAGCCAACCAACGGGATCTTTTACATACTGGCTTTTTATTATGAGAGCCTAGAAGCCTACAATTTACTGCACATGACGCACAAATCAAGTCTGAGATTGCTGATCATTATGGCCCTACATTGCGTCATCTCCATTTGCAAATAGTAAGCAGATGATGTGCATGTGTCTATTAGCTACTCACTTGAATAGGATTCCCAGACACTGGATTCTTTATGTCTTTTGCAGCTATGATCATTCCCAGCGCAAAGTTGGCAACCCGTTCAGCATGTGTGGATACAGGCACAGGAACACCCCCTACTACCATGTAGGCATCTCCTATGGTTTCCACCTTTAAAAAAAAGAAGCAGACAAACCCTGCCATGCCAATAGTCTCTGTCTGAGCTCATTATTATTCCAGGGTAAGTGCCTGGAACCCCTGGAACATCGCACCGCTCAGAGATTGGGGTGGCGTGTTAACACTATAAATACTTTTATAAATCAATGAATGAATTATGATATTAGTTAGGACTTGCTTAATTATTTTAAGATCTGGTTTCGGGGAGAGAGGGTTAGTGTGAAATATCGTTAGCACAGAATTCTCACATTTCTGATATTCAAATTATTTTAACATTGCTGTTTTGAACAATAATGTAAACCTTTTTTTCGTTCTTCAAGAAACTAAAGCATTACAATGCATTCTGTTTGTGATTTTGTGCAGCGTGGTTTTTTTTAAATCACGGCCACCCTCTCTTCTGATACAGCTACTGATAAGCCAGTGCACAGATGCCATGGAATGGACCAAGGCCTCAGAGGAAAACCATCAGGATTCTTGCTCTCTATAACAACACACAGGGTGGCCTCAGAGTCCAAGAATGGTTCCTTACTCCAGGTTTTCCCTAGTAGCTTCTCAGCACAGGATCCTGTTTGTTATATGCAGTCCTCATAAATTCTCTCTGGCATCACAGGCTTGCCACAGAGTTTGTAACCTCAGATTTACTGCCCTCCCCCCCAGCTATCCCTTTCTTTCACTCATGTTTCTCTCACAGCTGTCTCACCCTGACCTTCTGCTTTATCTCTACCACTCCTCCCCACACCCCATTCTCCTATTCTCCCACTCTCAATTCATATTCCTTCTAAACAACTTCATGGGGCCAGAGGTCACCTTTGCTTTTTATCTCTCCCTTGCTGCTGTGTGCTAGTCAGCATACTTCCGCCTCAACTTCCTTTGTGCATTTTGCTGCTGCTACTTGCATCCCACCTGATGTCTTTCAACAGGCTGCAGTAGGCATGTAGAATCATAGAATCATAGTTGGAATAGACCACAAGGGCCATTGAGTCCAACCCCCTGCCAAGCAGGAAACACCATCAGAGCACTCCTGACATATGGTTGTCAAGCCTCTGCTTAAAGACCTCCAAAGAAGGAGACTCCACCACACTCCTTGGCAGCAAATTCCACTGTCGAACAGCTCTTACTGTCAGGAAGTTCTTCCTAATGTTTAGGTGGAATCTTCTTTCTTGTAGTTTGGATCCATTGCTCCATGTCCGCTTCTCTGGAGCAGCAGAAAACAACCTTTCTCCCTCCTCTATATGACATCCTTTTATATATTTGAACATGGCTATCATATCACCCCTTAACCTCCTCTTCTCCAGGCTAAACATGCCCAGCTCCCTTAGCCATTCCTCATAAGGCATTGTTTCCAGGCCTTTGACCATTTTGGTTGCCCTCCTCTGGACACGTTCCAGTTTGTCAGTGTCCTTCTTGAACTGTGGTGCCCAGAACTGGACACAGTACTCCAGGTGAGGTCTGACCAGAGCAGAATACAGTGGCACTATTACTTCCCTTGATCTAGATGCTATACTCCTATTGATGCAGCCCAGAATTGCATTGGCTTTTTTAGCTGCCGCGTCACACTGTTGGCTCATGTCAAGTTTGTGGTCAATCAAGACTCCTAGATCCTTTTCACATGTATACTGCTCTCAAGCCAGGTGTCCCCCATCTTGTATTTGTGCCTCTCATTTTTTTTTGCCCAAGTGCAATACTTTACATTTCTCCCTGTTAAAGTTCATCTTGTTTGTTTTGGCCCAGTTCTCTAATCTGCCAAGGTCGTTTTGAAGTGTGATCCTGTCCTCTGGGGTGTTAGCCACCCCTCCCAGTTTGGTGTCATCTGCAAATTTGATCAGGATGCCCTTGAGTCCATCATCCAAGCCGTTGATAAAGATGTTGAATAAGACCGGGCCCAAGACAGAACCCTGTGGCACCCCACTAGTCACTCTTCTCCAGGATGAAGAGGAACCATTGATGAGCACCCTTTGGGTTCGGTCAGTCAGCCAGTTACATGTGACAGCCTTGCCCACATTGTCATCGCAAAGACATTTCCACCCCACCCCCACATTAAGGGTAAGCAGACGGAGAAGATGCACACACTTTAGACAGGATTCAGGCCAGAGCAAAGCAAAAGGAATGGGGGCATCAGAGCCCAGGTATCAGGAATAAGACAGGAGAATTTTACCCATCTCTTTTCTCCTTTCTTTTATAGGGGCTGCTGAGAAGGTGGAGCCAAAGAGAGCAGGGAATTACAAGGTACCAAGTGGGGGGGGGGAGGAGGAAGAGGAGGAGAGAGAAATGGTCCTTGGCATCTTTCCCCCTAACATCACTTTCGTGAAATTGTGGCTGAACATTTGTCACTGACCTTGTAGACATCATGCACTGTGGTCAGCCTGTCAAATCGCAGATACATCACATTTAGCAGGAGGACAATCTGAATAGGTTCGCATTGGGCACAAATGTTGGTGAAAGTTACAACATCGCTGAATAATATGGTGCACTCTTTAAACTCTCCTGCAAGCCCAAAAGGACAAAGGTTAGGAGTGAGGATAGTTTTGTGAATAAATGTGGTCAAGACTTGTACCTATACTCAAGTTATTCATTCATTCCTAGATATCTAGATCTTGTAATAAAAAAAATGTAATAATAATAATATTATAATAATTTATTATTTATACCCTGCCCATCTGGCTGGGCTTCCCCAGCCACTCTAGGTGGCTTCCAACAAAATATTTAAATACAGTAATGCACCAAACATTAAAAGCTTCCCTAAACAGGGCTGCCTTCTTCTAAAAGTCTGGTAGTTGTTGTTCTCTTTGACATCTGGTGGGAGGGTTTCCACAGGGCAGGTGCCACTACCGAGAAGGCCCTCTGCCTGATTCCCTGTAACTTGGCTTTTCGCAGTGAGGGAACCGCCAGAAGGCCCTTGGCGGTTACATAGCTAAAATTCATGCAACTGCACAGCAAAAGATCCTAACAGCCAACTATAAAATTATATATGCATACATATATACATGCATGATATAGCCTGAGGATGGGGAACCTCCGGCCCTCCAAAAGTTGTTGAACTCCATCTCTCACATTAGCCCCAGCCAGCATGGCCAATGGTTTGGGATGTTGAGAGTTGTAGTCCAACAGAACTTGGAGAGTCACGGATTCTCCACCCTGATCTAAACCAAGAGTGATTCAGTCCCTTTTGTTATAAGAGTTAAGCACATGCTTAACTCTCCATCCATATAAAAACAAGAAGAGCATTGCTAGATCATATCAAAAGTTCATCTAGTCCAGCATTTAGTTTCAGAATGGAGAACCAGATGCTTCTACAAGCTTCCAAAGCAAAACCTGGTGAGAACAGCCCTCCCTTGTTCTTTCTCCCCAGCATCTGATATTTAGAAGTATATGCCCTCTAAACAATGGAGGTGCTCTGGGGGAACACCAATGAACTACCTTCTTCCTTGACTATTAGCCATACTGGCTGGGTGGCAGATTGGAGCTGAAGTTCAACAAATTTGTGAAGGACCAGAAGTTTCCAACCCTTGGCATTAAAATGAATGGCTAATGGCGACAGTAGATTAAGGGGGAAAGGGAGCCTGGACCAATTTTTCTCTGGAGTTCCTCGTTTTGGTCTTCCTTACAAGTTAAGCACCAGCACATTGGCCCCAAATGTTTTATCTGCCTCGCGCTCATTCACCTGCCTCGACTCGTTTCCCTTCTTTGAGCTGGTTGGCCACATGCCTTGGGAGCATGGCGTAGAGAAGGGCTTCCGTCTTTTTCTTCTCCTCCTCGAGGTGCTTTGACAGAATCCGCAGCTCCTCTTTCTTCCTCTCGAGCTGATTGGACAGCTCCATCTCAGCCAGCCGCTGCTGGTTCAGAAGGATCAAATCCCTGGTGACATCGTGGGGGGCAATGTCGGCAATGTGCATGTGCCTCTCTTCCAGCTCATGCAGCGTGCGCAGGAGAGGGGAGCAAAGGTACAGCATGCACTGGACAGGCTCCATCCAAATCATCTGACCTGATTAAAAAAAAATACAGAATCACAGGTACTATTCCTTCATGCCATTCATTCTAGTTATTTAAGTTTTTGGTTGCTGTTCTTTCCCTCTAGATTATATCTGCATTGTTAAACTTCCAACCCTTCACTAGACTTCTACTCCACCCAGTGTCAGGAGGTCCTACACATTAGGAGTCTAGCAGAGACACATGCCCGACTGGCATGTTATCTCCCCCCTGGTCTGTCAGGAGATTCAAAATCTTTCTCCAGTTCAAACATCACATTCAATACCTCAGAGGCATCAGCACACTTCAGAATCAGCAAAGTATAGGCAGTCAGCATTCAGACTCAGTAGCGCAGCTTTTTGGCTAAACTATGTTTATTAACATATATATACTTGTATATATTGTAACTCAGCTCCTTCCTCTTCAGCATCATACAGCAAAGAGAGAGCAAAGGACAAAAGTCCTACATCATGGAAACACAGTAATAAAAACATCCTGTCTCCGTCACTTCCCACACTGTGGAATGAAAACATACATAAAACCAATCCCATGACTGCAACACGGGAAAAGAATCCTAACACCCAGAACATATAAAAAGTTGTCTCAATTATTACAATGAAGACACAATTTCAGAATTCAAGGAGGGAGGAGAGGGTTAGGGAATAGATTTGGGGGGAGGGTGCTCCCATATTTGCTACTGTCCAGGCGACAGGCAGTGGGGAGTAACAGTGGGTGGGGACTGGGTGTCCCACCCCTCAGAACCTGGCCTGAAGCAAGTGCCTTAACACCCTTCAAGGGTTGGCCAGCCCTGCAGCCAGCTCTTCATCCAGTCACCTTAATCATGCCTGACCCCGATATTTATGGAGACAATGAGTTACCTCTCAGTTCTAACATAGGACGCTGCTTCCAAGATTCTGGCATCATCTCCCTCTTGGTCCGGAAAACAAATTGGCTGTTGATAAATTTCTGGACACTGGAGATGGTGAATTTCACTTCAGGACGTACGATACTGAAGTATTGGTTGAGGCGGATGCCCAGTGTCTGAAGGCCTGGCACGATCTTTTGAATGCTGACTCCGGCTTGCTTCACTCTAAGCTTAAAAGATAGAATCACAACTCTTTAGCATCAACCCCCCTCAAAATTGTCTTGCAATCCTACCTCTGGAGTCAGTACGAGAGCAGCCAGCATAGAATGGTAGCGCCACAGAGCCAACCACCTAGTAGCATTATCACTAGGTTGATAGGGCAGTGGCAAGGTTGGGGATGCAACTCCCATCGTCTGTGATCATTGGCCAGGCTTGCTGGAGCTGGTAGGAACTGGAGTCCAACAACATCCAGAGGGCCAAAGGTCCCTCATCCCAAAGGTAAGGAAACATGAGACAGAAGTCCACTATTTCCAACCCCTTGCTGCTGCTCCAACCATCCTCCATGAGTTGGAGAGTTATCTTCTGAAGTGAGGGGGCCTCTTGTACATATGAAAGCTTTGCTGTACATTTTAGAACCCTGAATGCATGCAGGGAAGGGACAGAAGGCTTCCTGCTTTAGAAGATTGGCCTACCATTGATGGAACACCATCAGAAGAGTGACAGGGGGCAGAGGCAGCACACTCACCCTCACAGCCCCCATCCCATGCCTCTCTACTTAAAGGCTGGAGTGGATTTTGCATTGTCTCACATAACAGTGTTACTGGGACCATGCTGGAATAATGGTGAAAAGTAGGCTATATGACGATGCTCGATTGCCGTCTGGGCAATTTTCAGCAGCTAACTACTGGAAGGGTAGTTATTAATCCTGGTATTAATATATTATGAAACAGAATGTCTCAGGTTAACTTATCATGCGAACAAGCTTCTAGGTCAACAGTAGGCAGTAGCAGTAAACAATTTATTACATTAGGTGATTGAATCTGTAATCCTATGCCTACTTGTCTTGGAACGAGTCCCACTGAACTCACTGTGATTTTCTTCTGAGTTGCTATGCAGAAGATTGTGTTGTAAAATGACTATGTTTGGTTCACATATGTAGGGAAACGAGTTATCATTAGTTTGACTCACCTCTTCATCAAATACAATGTGGAAAGGAAGCCCATTACAAAATGTCTTCGGATCTATGCAGAGGGTCTTAGGATAGACAGGATCAAATCCTTTCAGAAGTCGTCCTGCAATATGGGGGGGTGGGGGGGTAATTTCAATCCTATCATAATTCCCTGATAGAATCAGTACCATTATTCAGGTAGCATGATTCTGCAAGATAGTTTAATTCTCATTCATAAATAAATAAATAAATATTCATTCATTTCCCTCCGTCTTCCTCCAAGAACTCCAGAATAATATACATGGGGACTTTCCATGTATATGAATATGATGCGATTGGAAGAATAGGCTGAACAGGTTTCCACTATAAATTAGAACCTGGAAAGGGTTTTCAAAAATAAAAATTTATGACATGTAAACATAACCATTATCTTGTGTTTTTCCTTAATACAACGTGGTTGTTTTTACTAGGATGCCACCATGGTGTAGTGGTTAGAGTGTTGGGCTAGGACCTTGGAGAACAGAGTTCAAATTCCAACACAGACATGAAGCTCATTGGGGGATGGTGAGCTATTCATCATCTCTCAGCCTAACCCACCTCACAAGATTGCTGTCAGGGTAAAATGAAGAAGGTCCACCACCTTGACCTCCTTGGAGGAAAGATGGGATAGAAATTAATAATATTTAATGAAAAAGCCTGGGTTTTAAATGCCATACTGAAAGTATTAATGAATGATGCCAAATGGTTTTTTGAAAGTTACACTTTTACCTTTTCCTATTGTCACAATTCCTTTAATTGTTTCCCAGTGACTTTTCTTGAGAGGGCATGTCGAAGGCGGGCTGGCTTTATCCCTGTTCTTGTTTGTGGCTCTTTCAGTATCCTGTGGAATGAACCCAAAACAATTGCCAAACTGTTAAAATTTTAAAAGTGAGAAGGTCTTTGCATCAGCGAAATAATTAATGTAATAATGGAAGGCACAAGCAACTTAAATTTCTTCCTACTCTTGAATTGGAATGTGCTTGGGATATCTTCAAGTATCCTTCACTGTTTCGAACTCTTTGGAGGCAAATATCCAGAGTTTTGAGCATATGCCTGGATTCTGAACATGGTGTCTAATATTGACACCTGTTTTCTTTTTTCAACAATAATAATAGTAGCAATACTAATAGTAATAATAATTTCAATAATGATGATGATGTAGAAGACAACCTATTACTTTAAAACTGCTTCAACGCTATATATTTTATATATAGGTCTTCCTGTCAATACATACATAACTCCATACAAAAATGAATATCACAGTACCTCTTTATTCAGCTGTTTTTCCACCAGTGTTCCGGAACGTGAATGGAATGGCGAAGAGGAAGAGAACTTATTTCGCCTTCTGTATGAAAATACAGGTTTTTGTGTCACAAGAAATACAATGTGTTCCTTTTTCCCTGTTCTTTCTTCTTCTTCTGACTGATTGACTATTTCCATGGAAATTTCAATGTTGAAAAAATCCAAAGCTGCTGCACCAATGATTCCTAAAGCAAAAGAAAAAATCTAGATGTTATTGGGGGTATGCACTGATTTGTTCTAGACGCCAGTTTGATGCTTGGGGGTTCGAGTCTGATTCATTCTCTTGCCTCCATTCACAAACCGGGAATTTGTTGAATGGCTATAACTTTCCCCCTCTGTTAACAGAAGTGCATGAAATTTGCCGGTATTGTAGCCCATAAAGATTGGATAAAATCTGCTAAATTACAAGTAAATGGGTCCAGGGGCTCAGGTGCTACATACGGTACTTTTAAAGTGTTTCTGGAGTAGGAAGGGGGGGAAGGGATTTGCTTTTGAGATAAATTTTAAAAAATCCCTCTGATTGCAAACTAGATTTGTCAGTGAGAGCAAAAATCTTCCTCTGCACCTACTCCCTACTCTGCCTTTTTCTTTCCTTTCCTCCATCACCCCACCCTAAACTAATACTAAGCTTAGAGACATTGCTTTTGCTTTTAGCAGACACTTGTTTGCAGCATTCCCCCCCCCCCCCATGTCTGGATCATCCATGTGCCATGAAACACGACAGGGGTTCCTCCTTCAACACATGCCATATTGTAGTGATCCTGCATCACTTCAGACAAGCCCAAAATGCCTCCGACACACCTTGCTTCATTTCAGGATTATGCCAGAACTGATGCTGCACAAACTCTGATAGCACAATCCATACCAACCAGCCTAGCTGCTGTATTGTGGACAAATTATAGTATCTAAAAAGTCTTCAATGGCAGCCCAATAGACGATACAACAATGTAAGTTTATTGTTCTAGCCAAAGCCCATAAAAACCCACAGCAACAGTACCAATAAAAAAATACAGATCATACATCCATTATACCAGCCAACAACCATGACGTAAAAGAAAGGTTACCAGAGACACTCAAATCCAGATTGATTTCAAATTAAACATCTGAATCACCATAGCAATTTATTAGGGTTGTCATATGTCAGGAATTTCCGAGATATGTCTGGGATTCAAACGGTGATAGTAGCATCCAGGTGGAATTTTGAAAAATTGACAGAATGTCCAGGTTCTTGCCAGCAGAACCAGAAAGTGTGTATTTGAGTATCACTCTTTGCCTCTTTGGGGTGAATTTTACATCTTGAAATGTGGCAACCATAAATTTATGACATTTTAACTAATTCCTTTTTCCTGTTAGTTTGTTTTTCAGTCAGTGCATAGAGGGCCAGTCTTTGTTACAAAGCTTGTTGTTGTTGTTTAGTCGTTTAGTCGTGTCCGACTCTTCGTGACCCCATGGACCAGAGCACGCCAGGCACTCCTGTCTTCCACTGTCTCCCACAGTTTGGTCAGGCTCATGTTTGTAGCTTCGAGAACAAAGCTATTATTCTCTAAATTATTATTCTATTATTATTATTATTAAATTATATTATTATTATTATTATTATTATTATTATTATTATTATTATTATTAAATTATTATTCTATTATTCTATTATTCGAGTTACAAAGCTGTTATTCTCTAAATAAATATATAATAAGAATGATGGCAGGAATCAGCACGACATCACACCACTGGGACAATTGCTAGTTTATAGCGAATGGAGGGTTTGGAAGAGGTCTGTAAAGAGAAAAACACAGTGTGCAGGACATTCAGAAGACATTAATCCAATAGCTGACTATTCCACCTTTCAAAATCCGTTCCAGAGGAAACTACATACCTGGAACAATATGGCACAAGCCTCGCCTGTCTGAGTAATAATGCAAATGCATCGACCCATCTTCATTCTTTTCCACCCTAAATGAAGGAGCGTTCATTTCCTGAAAAACACCCAGAGTTCTTAATAATCACGCATCTCATATTTCAGCTCATTTTTCAAGATTGCCCTGAAGCAGAATGGGCAACCTTCCTGGGCACCAAATTAAGCATGTGATCTGGGCTGTGGTGGTGGTTCTACCAAATTACAATTACAATTAAGCTCACTATTTAACAAATATAGAAAAACAAGTTGTATTCCAAAGTTCTAAGAGGTAGGGGGCATTCCATGAGTTAATGTTACATCTCTCTGGATTCTTTCCCCCCCCCCAAAAAAAAAAAACACAAACCCTGTCTGGACTCAAGCACCTCTGCTCCATATGCAATGGAGAAAGGCAATCAAACAGCAGCTAAATATTTCCAGCACAAGGTCAATACACCAAACTAATCAGTGAGAGTATGTATAACAATAGACATATCTCATATTATGCTGCTGTGAACATGTGCTGTGTATGTAGAACCACAAAAGTTATTTCCACTTACCTGGTAAGACAGACTTAGGTAGCTGTGCAATGCATCCAGATTCTCTATAAATTCATAGAGGTTCCCTCCCAGAGTCCGCAGCATATGGTCATAACCTGACCGCTTGCAGAATTCAAAGAAATATTCTCCAAACTGCTTCAGGACCATATCGGGGGGAACATCTGGGAAAATAATTGTCATTTAAAGCACATGACTTTCCCAAAAGAACCCCGAGAACTGTAGTTTATCCCTCACAGAGCTACAATTCCCAGCACCCTTAACCAGCTACAGTTCCCAGGATTCCTTGGGGAAAGCCTTTTGCTTTATAAGTGCTTTACATGCAGTGGTGGCCGATGCAGACCCTCCAATATTTCTTTAATGAAAACAGGGACATTCAATTCCATAATGATATTATATATACCCCACACATCTTACTGGGTTGCCCCAGCCATTCTGGGCAGCTTCCAACATATATAAAAGCATAAGAAAACATTAAACACTTTTTTAAAAAATTCCTTATACAGGATTGCCTCTTTCAGACAGCTCAGGAGTCAGATAAGTAAAACATTTCTGCAATGAAAATAGGGACATCCTAAGGAAAAGTGGGATCAAATCAGAAACCAGTATGCTTTCTCTAAATCAGGGACATCCCTGGAAAATAGGAACACTTGGAGGGTCTGCTGGTGGAGTGGTGCAGGCAGCGCTGCATTACTTTCCAAGCCTTACGTACCTAGCATTTTGCATGCCTTATCAATCAGCTGCATTGTGATTTCATCTCTGTAAACTTCGAAAGTCAAAAAGGTATCCTGTACTCCAGTTTGGACTCTGTAATAGAAATAAATATTGGCTGGCATTTTAATAACATTTTTAGGGTTCAGTCTCTCATTCAGTCAGCTGGCCTGCCACTACTGACCCTTCTTAGGATCAAGCCATGTGATGAAATTTTGGGCAGTATTCTGGCATATAGTTCCAGAGCTGGCCCAGTCATTAGAGAGGGTGAGGCCATTGCTTCAGGGGGCCAAAGTCCCTGGGCAACACACTCACGGGTGTCCCACTTGCCCGCCACCTCTACCATCGGCAGAGAAGCACCGCTGCCACCGATGCCAATTTTGGGCACAATTACATCTACTTGGTTGAGATCTCATTGAAAATTGGCCCTGATGGCTGTGCAGCTTCTCTGCCCACAGCAGATGCGAAAAGGTGCATGGTGTCAGCAGAACAGTTGGCAGCATCAGTAGAAGGCATGTGGCAGCAACAGCAGCACTTCCTGTTTTGCTTCAAGCAGAGAAATGAGACATTCTACCCTGGTATAGCTCTTTCCCGCCATTTTCATGAGGTAATCATAAGGGAACAGAAGCACATAAGCGCATAAAGGCATATCCCCAGCCACTTTGGGCGTCTCCCAACAGAATATTAAAAACACAATAAAACATCAAACATTAAAAACTTCCCTAAAAACAGGGCTGCCTTCAGATGTATTCTAAAAATCAGATAGTTGCTTATTTCCTTGACATCTGATGAGAGGATGCTTCACAGGGCATGTGCCACTACAGAGAAGGCCCTCTGCCTGGTTCCCTGTAACCTCACTTCTTGCAGTGAGGGAACAGCCAGAAGGCCCTCGGAGCTGGACCTCGGTATATCTAACAGAAAGCCACAGTTCCATACTACAACAGGTAGTGCAATGTAAAAGGAATGTTAGAAACCAGGAGAGATGCACTAGCATTATAACCAAGGAAACTAATGCAATAATCCCCAGGTCTCAGCACACCCATATATGATGCTGAACTTGATGGGCTGGCGGAGTGGCAGATTCCTATGCTCCTAAAATGTGGGCCTTGAATAAGCCCATAGCAGTCTGGAGAATATGTCCAGAGGGAGGGAGGGAGAGTATAATGCTTTCAGTTAGAGTTAATAACACTTCCTAAGGATGCCTGCTATAATACTTTCAAAATTTGATGTGGCTTCATTCCAGTATGATGAGTTTTCAGCTGCTGCTCTGTCACAAAAATGTTCACCCAACCACATGCCATTCTGTATCATTTTGCATAACAAATAAAGCAATTAGAGGAGAGAAGCATTATGTGATGAGGCAATCTCTTGCCTTTGTTTCAGTAATTGTTTCGGGTTATCCTCAGAGCAGGGAAATCATTCTCCTGCAATATGGTATTCCTTCTGCTTTCACTTAAATATTATTTGGCTAAAGGCATTTTCTTCAGGGGCGGGGACAAATGCTGAGTCATTATAAGAGTCTTGTGCCTCCAGATGTTAGGCATGTACCGTATGTGCTTTTACTTTCCTTTGGGGGTGCTACAATTTTATAGATTTAATCTAACAGGTAGTCCCTGCATTCAGTCTCTCTGCTCTGAAGGCCATACATAGTGCTATGAGTTGTGGGGGTTAGGTTGCCTTGGCCCTCTTCTAATTCCTGGAATAGCCAGGCTAGCTTTTTGGTAAGGTGGTGAACCATTAAGGGAACAAAGGAAGTGGCTTGGTGCCAGAGAACAAATAGGTGGGCCCTCTCCCTCAACTGACTGATAATTAGAAAGACAAAGGCAAGAGCTGAGAAATTGAAGCAGGTGGAAGCCTGAGAGAGAGAAAGAGGTGCTTGATTTCTGCTTTTGGGGAAAGCAAAAGCCTCTTGGGGGTGTTAATTGCTGTGAATTTCTCCATTGTGGGCTCAAGTTGTATATATGTGTAAATAAACCATATATCATGAAGACACCACAGTGTCTGCTGTCCCTCATTCTGAAGAAAACATGAACCCTCGGTAAGCACTTGGGACCCTTAGAATCTCAGAGATTGGGGTGGCTCAGAGATTGGGGTAGCATGCAACAATATTCCTTTCCTGACTGAGTAATGTTGTGTCTTTGCAAAATGCTGCCACAGTATCAATTCCTTCCACCCGCCCCAATCCCTTTGCAAACATGGTGCCCTCTCTAGATGATTAGATCTACAACTCCCATCAGCATGGCCACACTGGCTGAGACTGATGAGAGTTGTAACCCAAAACATCTGGCATGCAGTAGGGTTGGCAAAGGTTGGGGCTGACAATACTGGGATCAACAGACAGACCAAATGATCCACCTCAGTAGGACAAACTCCATGTGCTCCTGTTATTCACTGGCCTGATGTCTAAGACTATGGTGTGTTGGTGTGCATACAGAGAAGCACTTGTCAACTTGTACCTTGCAGGACACTTCCTAAGATTTCAAAAGGTGTTTCTGAATTATTTATTTTTATTATTATTATTATTATTATTATTAGAAATTACAGAGGGAACAAAACAGAAAGTCTATTAATATTTCCTCCAGGTATAAATTACCTTAATTTCTCCCATACTTCTTCACCATATTTTTCAACCACCAACGACTTCAGGCATGTATTGATGAAGCCATACTGCAAAAGCAAATGCATGAAAATGGGAAAATAGAATGTTCTCTTTTAAAAAGCCACATTTGCATCACATTGGATGATATTTGCATTTATATTTATTACATGAAACTTTGGCTTGCTTTTACAAAACGAATACGCAACGAATACAGAATCGGCCAGATAAGGAAGTTTACTATTAGTGTCTTCAGGCTGTAATTCAGAACTTTTAAAATGTACCATAATAGTCTACATAACAGACTTGGATAGATCAGTTGGTAGAGCATGAGACTCTTAATCTCAGGGTTGTGAGTTCAAGTCCCACAATGGGCAAAAGATTCCTGAATTTCAGGGGGTTGGACTATATGAACCTGATGGTCCTTTCCAACTCCACCATTCTATGATCCTATGACTGGAGCTGATGAGTCCAACAACATATTGAGGCGACCATGTCAGCCCGACAGTACTGAGCTAGATGGACCAGTTTCCTATGTTCTTGCTATTCAACATCCTTACTGGGCAGAAGCACAGAACCAGGAGCAAAGGAAACAAACACACCGTTCCCTTAAAAGTCAGGGAGGAATTTGCCATTTTCCTGATTCAGGGGCACGCACTCTCTGCATAGCTTTCTCTGCATGTCTGTGTGCCTCTTTGGTACTATTACAAAGCACATGAGAAAAAACTCTGCTTTAGATGTCCAGTAATAGTCGTGCAGATTAGTAATTCAGATGATGCGCATCCCCAGAAGAAGTGCCTGATCAAAATGACCTACTTGGGTCAGTACGATTACGGTGAGCTCTTGCCCACCCACTCCTCTTAGTTTCCTCTTCCCCCAGTTCATCAATAAGCACTTTTCTTCTGGACGCCCTCTGAGCTCCTTAAAAAACGAATGTCCTACACAATCCCCACCCTTTACAAGTCTGCTGCACAGGGAGCCTTTCTCTCTTGCCTCCCGGATCCATAAATAGCAGAAGGCATCAAACGCTCTGAGGTGTGAAGCAGAATTGAATCAGCCCGAATCCCACTGTCTTCAACGGAGCTTAGAGATAAGGGCGCCTTGAAAGGGTGGCGGCCTTAGTAACCACAGCGCCTCTCTGCCCAGCGGCGCTGATGCGTCTCCAAGCCGCTAACTAGATTGCCAAAACCAAGCACTGTCCTAGCGCACCACAACAAATCCTCTCTCCGTATTTCTAAGCCACTCCAGCTTTGGCAGAAGCGGGGACCAAAAGGGGCAACTGGGCTTGTCAGTTTTTTTATTTAAAAAAATGAGAATGTGCGTAATACTCTTTTCTTGACTTTTACTGGGCGCGAGCAGACGCTTGTGCGCTTTGGGATACGGTATTTTATTTACTAGCTCCTGAATCCAGACCGACGTGCGGCCAGACGCCCCCTATTGACATCAGCCACAGTTCCTCGGACTTCATTGGAGGTTATGTCGGCCACTGACGCGAAGAGGGAGGGGACAGCTACAGGTTGCCATCTCCAGAATCTATTGATGCTGGTCCTCCAGCCACTTGACTGACGGGCGTCGAGTGGACGTGGTCGCCTCTGCTCGTGGCGCTGGCTTCTACCAAGACCTTAGCATGGTCCTCAGCTCCCTTGCTCCAAAGTTAGTAGGGCGGCTCCGGAGCAAAGTAGTTGAGGATCCCTTGCTTTTCTTTCTCTCCGGGAAAAGCAAAACAGAGCTAAACTGGCAACAACGCCCCCCCCCAAACTTCCCTCCCCGCCGCCCACTGCTCAGAGGCTTTTTCTAAAATCGATTTGACACAAAGTCATCGGCATCTCCTCCGGATCCCGGATCCCTCTGTTAACTTTCAAAACAAAAACCACCCGTGGAAGCTCGTTGGGGGTCGGTGGGGGAGACAAACAGTCGCTACTCACCATTCTGGCGCATGACTCAAGCGATAGAACCGTGCAACATTGCTTTATTCCTGTCGCTCAGGGTGATCCTTCTGGCTCTCTGCTCCTTCCCCGGAGACGCCACGTTAGTTCGGGGACCCTGGCCAGCTCCTTTCCGCGGGCGGAGAGCTAGGATGTCGTGACACCGTGGAAGGAACCAGCCTCTCCTCGAGGGCTCGGAAATCTGAGCGGCGAGCCTGCAGCCCCCATGCTCACTCCCCACCCACCCCCTTCTCCGGAGGCTCACAACGGGCTTGTGGCTCTGTCCTTTCTTCCGCTGCAAGGTTACGATCGGCCTGCCACGAAGTCACCTTTGACTGCCTAGGATCTGAGCAGCCCCGTCACGAAAACAGCGCCTCTTTCTGCGCGCTGCATGACTGCAGCGCCTCCATCTCTAAGTGCCGGAGCGCAGCCTTGCCTTGCCTGAGTCGTTGCTTCTGCCCGGAACTGGAGGCGCTGTCCAGGGGTCTCTGGTCCTGAAATGGCGAGCCACAAGAGCCGCGAAGAGGCTGATTGGCGCCTTCAAGCCTGCGGGCTGTTTTAGATTACATTTCACGCATTTGATGGAACCGGCTGTGGTACGCCACAATGAATTCGTTAGTCTTTAAGGTGCCAGAAACTGAAGACGGGCCATAGGTCTGGAACAGAGCACATGTTTAGCATGCAAAAAGGTCTCAGGTTCAATCCCTTGTGTATCCATGTGGGGCTGGGTCAGTGTGGGCGATACTGAGCTAGATTGTTTACTTATTAAATCGATATGCAGCCCTTCCTCCCAAAGCAGTTCAGGGCACCGAACACACAAAGAATAAGACATTTCCAGTGCAGATGCAGACCGAGAAAGATCTCTACTTTGAAAGGCTTGTTTGAAGATGAAAGTATTCAGTTGTTGTTGTTGTTTAGTTGTTTAGTCGTGTCCGACTCTTTGTGACCCCATGGACCAGAGCACGCCAGGCACTCCTGTCTTCCACTGCCTCCCGCAGTTTGGTCAGACTCATGTTTGTAGCTTCGAGGACACTTCAGTAGCAACCAAAAAGACAACAGAAATGGCACCTGTGGTCTGGCTTGGTATAAGGCAGCTTCCTATGTTCCCAAGACACTTTCTGGTTTTTGCTGCGACAGAATTCATGCTGAAGGGTGGCTCTGCCATGTTGGAGAAATAGTAGCACATTTTCCCACAGGGGCTGAGTCCCCCATGAACCTCAGAAACGCTCTTCAGTGGTCATCTTGGAGTGCTTTCAATAAGCTGGGAAAATGGGAGGGCTGCTTATCCTCCTCCCTAACCTAGATGCATTTGCAAAGAGACTTCACCATGAAAATGTGCAAAACCTCTGTGCATTTTGTTTTTGTCATGAGGTTTCAGTGGTCTCAAAGGAACGTATGCATGTGGAACTAGAATGTCTCAACCACAGAAAGTAAACAACAACAACAAAAGCCAAACCTGCTGAGTTATTTATTGTACTTTTCTGCTGTGATAATAGGACCCAAGTCTTCTCAGATCCAGACACTAAGCAGATCTGTATCTGCTTAGCTTCAGGCAAGGTTGCATCATGGTCCTTCAGACTTTGCCAACAAACCCCAGGAAAAAATAATTCACAGATAAACATCAATGGCTCCTGTTCTACCCCCACTGTCAGAGTGAGGATGCCTCTGCATCCCAGTTGCTGGGAATTGCAGGTGGGCAGAGTGCTATTTGGCTCCAGCTAACATGCTTCACCCAGGCATCTGACTGGCCAGTGTGACTAGCCCAGATGGGACATTGGTCTGATCCAGCACCCTTGCCTTATGTTCTTAGGTAAGAATCACAATGATTCTCATGGTTCAAAATTGCTGTAAAGAAGAAGAAGAAGAGTTTGGATTTGATATCCCGCCTTTCACTCCCTTTAAGGAGTCTCAAAGCGGCTAACATTATTCTCCTTTCCCTTCCTCCCCCACAACAAACACTCTGTGAGGTGAGTGGGGCTGAGAGACTTCAAGGAAGTGTGACTGGCCCAAGGTCACCCAGCAGCTGCAAGTGGAGGAGCGGGGAAGCGAACCTGGTTCACCAGATTATGAGATTACCGCTCTTAACCACTACACCACACTGGCTCTCTAAAATGGCTCTCTAAAATGAATGCTAGCTAACCTTGACCATGAACAGATATGACTAGGTCCTTCTTAATCCATATTTTGCCAAGCGGCTTATGTTTCTTCCTCACGCTCCTTGTCTTTTGTAGATAATATGAAAATGCATCATCCTAAATGAGCAGATCAATCAGCTGCGAAACTAATACTGAACTTGAAAGATGTTTTCTCTTTAAACCCTTAATGAAAAATCTAGTAGAGGAAATTCAATTGCTACTTTGGAAAATGCACATAATTATTATTCAGATTCTACAAGTCTTACAGTGCAAGCCCTGCCATGTCCAACTCAGAAGTAAGTCCTACTTAATTCAATGGGGCTTACTTCCAGGCAAGTGGGGCTAGTATTGTAGCCTTGAGCCCATTGAATTCAGTGGGATTTACTTCAAAGTAAACATGGTATTACACTACACATTTTTTAAAAAGATACTAATGATAATTTGTCCCTAGACACTCTCTTTAGATCCAAAATATGTAATTGCACTACAACTCACCATTTTCAGCCACAGTTAACCATGAAGACAGGGTATCTTTCAAATTCCATTTATTCCTATATTCATATTCTGAAGAATTTATTAGACATCAGTGTGTTTTGATTTTTTTTAAGTGCTGTTTGCTTTCTGTTGCAGGTACTCCTCATTATTTCAGTAACAAAATACGTAACTGTTTCTTTTTAAAAGGGAGAATATCCAGCTTTGAGCATGAGCAGCATTTGCAGAAGGGACATTGGCATATCCAAGTAGCGCTGCATTTTGGAGTAATTTCATGCCTGGCATCTGAGGATTTTATTTTTGGAAAAGGCTGCTGTGTTCCCTGAACTGAAGATGGACTGTGTAATTTGTAAGCGTCTGGGCTATGATAAAGTGCAGCTCCACATGCTTCCCCATTATGGTTTGAAGCATAGAAAATAGAGTGATTCATTTGGCTGTTTAAGAAAAAAGGTTCTTAGTTCATCAGCAAGGCAGCAATAGATCTGGCAATAGTGTGGACATGATCCAGCAATGAAACCTGCATACCAAGCAAAGCATTTTCCCTGTGGGCAATGTGAATATGCACACAAAACCTCTGCATGTGAGATCTGGAGGTAAGCCAACCCATGCAGTCCATAGTCTGCTCTCAAAACATCCATTCATTGGATAAGTGTTTCATTCTCGTTATATCACACAATCCCCACCCCCACCCCCCAATATTTTTCATGGTTTCAGTTATTCATCTCAGGCTATGTTGATGTTAGTACACTGTACAGTTATGGGTACATGTAGCAGTGCCGACTAACGCACACAATATGTGTTGAAGACAGATGCAGTTGTGGCCATGGTGGCAGCATGGGAGTCTGCAATGCTGGATCTTCCCCACAGTTTCCAGATTTCCCCTGACCTTACTGGGATTTCAAAGGCAGAATTGACATCTAGGTGAAATATCTGGAAGGTGGTGCTTTTTCCTGGAGTTTAGGCAGGTCAATCGAAAAACTGACTTTGGGGTTTGTCAGCAACTTTCCTAAATAATAAAAAAAAGCTTTTGGGGTGTCCTGGTTTTTATTTTTTGAAATATAGCAACCCTAGTTAAGGCCTCCTGAATCCCAGGCTGGCAAGGACACTAAAGAGGCAACTGCAAAATGAGGCCCTTTGTGTTCATTTGCTTTTTATCCAGGTGACCTGCATATCTTTCTGAGACGTTGAAGATAATTGGTAAGAGACAAAACATTCCCAAATGGATGGATACACTGTGTGGTTACTTCCTCCATGAAATCCTTCTGGAAATGTTTTGATTCCTGGTTGAATAGCTCTACTTCAAGAAGCCAAAACCTGCATGAACTGAAGCTAAAATTAAACACTTAGAACAATCATTTTAGCCTATCCGTGTGTGTGTGTGTGTGTGTGTGTGTGTGTGTGTGTGTGTGTTTCTGATACAGCAGGACCATATTGATAGTGTAATATCTTCAGTTTTACCACTAGAGGGCATTCCTTCCAAGTGTACACTTAGATGTGTAGCCTGAGTAGAAAATAGAATGCCTATTTCTAAATATTATTTAGGTTCCAAATACAGTGGTACCTCGGTTTACAAACTGAATCCGTTCCAGAAGTCCATTCTTAAACCAAAACCGTTCTTTAATTGAGGCGTGCTTTCCCTAATGAGGCCTCCCCCTGCCGGTGCCCTTCCACCCTTCGGTTTCCGTTCTTAGACCGAGGTAAAATTCTAAAACCAAGACACTATTTCCAGTTTTGCAGAGTTTGTAAACCAAATCATTCTTAAACCGGACTGTTCCACTGTTCCAACCAGACCAAGGTACCACTGTACCAAGAACCAAAGCAAGAAGCAGGGAGAGATACAGTTTTAAATGCAATAATCTAAACTGATTATAGAATCATAAGATACTTTTGCATATACATACACACACATTAGTTAAGACAGTGAAAGTTTCAGCTCTAAAACCAAGGCGAGAGTGCCAACTTCTTTAACTGCCTGCCTATTTTATTTTTTATATCCAGATTAGGTTTGGATCCTTAATTTTGACTCTCAACACAAAGTCCTCCGATGAGTGCAAGTCTCTCATTCCATTCATAGAGTGAAAACATAGGATCCTGGCCAGAATATACCTCAAGTCCATTAAATAAATGCCAGCCCTTCCACTAGCCCACTTGAACCGTAAGAGCGCACAGAAAGAGTGGTCAAACCCACTTCTCCCATCCTTTAACCTTATATAACCTTTTATTATAACAACAACAATAATAATAAATTTATTTATATCCCGCCTTCCCCGGCCAAGACTAGGCTCAGGGCGGCTAACACCAAATATATAATACCTTAAAAACACAAAATCAAACGATTGATTAAAATACAGCTCAAAATCACATTTAAAATCAAAATAAAATTAGGTGGGAACCCACGAATCACAACTGCAGGGGTAAGGAATATTAAATGTTCACCAGGCCCGGCCACCCATGCTGGTCCCATGTGGGTCGACAGAAGGAGCCAAGACGTCACTTACATACAGGGTCCCATAGAAAGAGGGAAGAAGGAAGAAGGGAGGGGATCAGACTGGGCCCGGACCAAAGGCCTGGCGGAACAGCTCCGTCTTGCAGGCCCTGCGGAAAGATGTCAGATCCCGCAGGACCCTGGTCTCTTGCAACAAAGCATTCCACCAAGCCGGGGCCAGGGCTGAGAAGGCTCTGGCCCTGGTCGAGGCCAGTCTAACCTCCTTGAGGCCCGGGACCTCCAAAGTATTATTGTTTCTGGACCATAAGGTCCTCTGCGAGGCGTACCAGGAGACGCCTTTTCCCCCATGAATTTGATCAATCACCTTTCAAACCACCAAAGCTGGGGGCCATCACTGCCTCCTGCACATCTTACAAAACACAAGACGAACCGTGCATGTTTGCCTAACAGAATTCAACGAAGGAGCTGGGCACAACAGGAGAAGGCTAATCAGGTCTGTCTCCGAATAAGGCAGTTCCTGTGTTCTTATATCCCTCATTTGAATGCAGGCTTTATCTTTCTCTCTCACCCAACACACCCACCACCCACTCACCCTTTGCATTTATGTTGGAGTGATAGAAAAATTTCTGCTAGGCAGAGCCATCTGTAAAGCCATAATAGTTACTCCCGATAGTCCAACTATCTCAGCAGTTCATCTTCTAA